TACTAGTTCTTTCTGGCTTTCTTTCTGCTCTAATGTTAGTTTTGATAATTCCTCACTTATTGTTTGCAATTTTAATGCATCTACCGATTGTTCTTTAACTATTGCTGCATATTCTACTTCTGCTGCTTGTAACTTCAAATTGGTGGCTTCTTCTTTAGTAAGAGCCTTTGCTTCAGATTCTTTTGTTTCTTTTAACTCAGTACTTAATTGCTCTAGCTGATTCCGTAAATTTTTAGTCTGCTTACTTTCTTCTCCTTGCAATTTTTCAGATTCAAGCAATTTTTTGTTAATATCAGTTAATTCTTCTTTTGCTTTATCTAGCTCTTTCTGTCTTTCCTTCTGCTCTGATTTTAGTTGAGATAATTCCTCATTTAGTGTTTGTATTGTTGTTGCATCATGTTCTTTTGCCTCACTAAGTATAGCTATCTGTTTTTGTTCATTTTCCCTTACCTTTTCTAACTGAGTTTGTAAATTATCATTCTCTTTGGTTAATGTATTTATCCTAGATTCCAAATCTGGAAATTTTAGTTCATCAAATAAACTAGTATCTTGCTGCTTTGTTTGTCTCTCTTCTTTTTCCAATTCTTTAATTCGTTCTTGGAGACTACGTATTGATGCTAGATGATTTTCTATTTCTTGATTTGCAAATAATTTTTCCTCATTTCTCAATAAGTCTAATTCTTTTAACAAACTAGCCTGATCATTTATTTTTTCTTGGGCAGCACTAAGTTCAGTATGTAACTTATTAAGCTCAATTTGACGTTTTAGCTCTACTGCACCATCAGCAGCTCTTTCTTGTAGTATAGAATGATAACTAAGTGGAGCTTCTTTTTGTTGCTTTGTATTGGATAGAGTGGAAGAAACTTTTTGTTCGAACTGTTCTAATCCTCCAATTAATTGCTCTTCTTGTTGCTTGTTTTGTTCAATAATTTGAATTTTTTGCTCTATTTGGTCTTGGATTTTCTTTATTTCTTCTTCTTGTAGTTTTACAGTGTTATATTGTTCCTTTGTTACAGCATTTTCTTCTAATATAACATCTATTTCTTTTTTTATCTCCGCTTGGCGGTACTCAAATAATTTTTGTAGTTCTGGATCAGCATCAACTATCAAATCATCAGCTAAATCTTTCTTTTGTAGTTTATTTTTTTGCTCAATTAAATAGGACTCCTTTTCTTGTAGATTTTGCATCTTGCCATTAAGCTCTGCAATAAGCTGTGAATTTTTTTCAAGTAAGTCTTCTTTCTTATTGTCTTTAAGTAGGTGAGCAAATTGATGTTCCATTCCCATATAAGAAATATCTTGTCCATCTTCACTTAAAAAGCGCTGCAACTTTTGGCATAGCTCAAGATGTGATAAAATGTTTTCATATTCTTGTGTGTTCAGTTCTAACTTTGAGTCTATAAGTTCATTTTGCGCTTGGATGGCTTGCCTTATTTCATCTGCTGATTGAGTGGTTAGATGTCCTTTTATTTTTTCCTGCTGTTGGTAAAGTTTTTCCAACAATTCTAATGCATCACTATCTTGCTCCTGCAAATTCTCTCTTAAATCTTTTAATGTTTCTTGCTTAGATTGTAGTTCTTTTCGCAGTAATTTAAGCTCTTTATTAGCTTTATCAACTGTATTATGTTGAGTTTCGATCTTTTCTTTAAACTGCTCTACTTCGGATAAAGTTTCTTCTGATTCTAGTAATGACATTTTATTTACCCATAGTTTAAATTATCTAAATTAACCGGAAGTTCGATGTAACACGTGACATCGAACTTCAGCGGCATATATAGAAACAATCTGGCTTAAAGCGGTTTAGC